CAATACTGAAAACATTGTCGTATCACCACAATACTGAAAACATTGTCGTATCACCACAATACTCAAAACATTGTCGTATCACCATCCTCCTGAAAACATTGTCGTATCACCACCCTACTGAAAACATTGTCATATCGTCACCCTACTGAACACATTGTCGTATCACCACCCTACTGAAAACATTGTCGTATCACCACCCCACTGAAAACATTGTCGTATCACCACAATACTGAAAACATTGTCGTATCACCATCCTAATTAAAACACTGTCATAAATGTAATGCCATTTTGCTAAAAATACTGTCATAAATGTAATGCCATTTTGCTAAAAATACTGTCGTAGACATTCAACTTTATCGTGATTTGAATTCATCCAATGTGCTGACAACTACTAATTACTTAGTAACAATGTTCTACGTTCTACAAACAGCCTAGTCGTTCAAAATGTACCTGTTACCATGTAACAATATGGAATACCGTGTAAACAAGACATCAACTCGACAGATGTTACACCACACGTGGATCCTCAGTATGTTTCCTACTTACCCTGCAGACACTGATAAACAAACTGTTCAGTGTTCAATGTCTGGACAATCTACCCTGCAGACACTGGTAAACAAACTGTTCAGTGTTCAATGTCTGGACAATCTACCCTGCTGACACTGGTAAACAAACTGTCCAGTGTTCAGTGTCTGGACAATCTACCCTGCTGACACGTGAAATTGGATAACAATACTTCTTATTTCAAATGTCTTAAATAATGTCTTCAACATTATAAAAATACACTGTATTTTTTCCAAATAATTAATGCAAAATCTCAGAACTTCTATTATTCCAAGCTTTCAATTTTTTTTTTTTTTATATGGGGGAATTATAAACCTGTCTCAGATTGGCACTCTACTGTAAGTAGAGTGCCAATCTACTTTGTTAAATTAAGCCTAATTTTGAGCTGCACTGATGGAGAAGATCGGAAATATGACACTTGGTTTCAAACAGCAATTAGAGTGTCCAGTACATTAGAATGTGCGCTGATCTCGGAATGCTGTGAAGGCTTGGATTAAGTAGAGAAGTGTGTTAATAATAAGACTTAGAAACGAACCTTGAATGTTTGTTTGTTACGGATTTCGCGCAAAGCTACACGAGGGCTATCTGCGCTAGCCGTCCCTAATTTAGCAGTGTAAGACTAGAGGGAAGGCAGCTAGTCATCACCACCCACCGCCAACTCTTGGGCTACTCTTTTACCAACGAATAGTGGGATTGACCGTCACATTATAACGACCCCACGGCTGAAAGGGCAAGCATGTTGGGTGTGACGGGATTCGAACCCGCGATCCACAGATTGCGAGTCGAGTGCCCTAACCACCTGGCCACGACGGGGATTCGAACCCGCGACCCACAGATTGCGAGTCGAGTGTCCTAACCACCTGGCCATGCCGGGGCCCTTGAATGTTATAACAGATACAGTGTAAACATACATACCTACGGAACTGTTTCAAAAAGATGTTGACGTTTAGACTTCTTTTACCATCCAGCAGGTTTATCTGTGAGAAACAAAAGAACAATAAAAAACACCTCGCCCATTTTTAGTTTCTTTATTAATAATCACAACTTTGCTAAATATTCAAAGAAAACCTCACCGAAAAATGAAAATAACAATATATTCCAACTCATATTAAAGATATATCTTCAGTTACAGTTTAATTAGTTGCATTAGAATTTATGTGATTTCATCGGCACCAAAGAAGGGCCTGCACGTGAGGGCTGCATGCAGATATGACTTTTCAACTTGGTGTACACCAAGTTCGTCACGTAGACATAGGGTCCCGATGATCGAAATAAATATTGAGTAGGTAATTAACCATGAAATTCTCATTAGGTAAGACAGGATGACTCATTTGAAGGGTAAGACTAGCAAGTAATTCCTTATTCCCTGTTTTGTTGCACCACAAGAAAACAACTCTGTAATCTAAACTGGCGAACATCAGCCAGGCTAGTTTTCGGTAAATCTAGTTCCCACCAGAATTGGTTACTGATCTAAACTACGAAGAAAGATAAAATCTATGACCTCACCTCTTGGGGTTCCTTCTTTCTTTTTTCCAAGCTATCCGTGACATCTCGGGCACCCAGTCTTGGAGAGGCTTGGCCGTTCACGTTAGTTGCGGCGCTGCTTTGCTGACAGAACAGTCCTTCCATTACGTCAAAGTCCAGATTATTTAAACTACTGTCGTGTGTCTTGGCCACTAAAGTCCACAGGTTCTTCTTACCGACAACTTTGTTACTGGGGATCTTGTTCCAGTTCAGAGTTTTCATTTTGTTCTTAGGCTTAGGGGTGTCTTGTTGAGGTAGCATTATCTGTTCATTTTGGTTGGGAAGAGGGGATGCACCTCTTACAGGAGGCGGTGGAGGTGGAAACCCCGGTCCTCCTATTGCGGGTGGAGGAGGAGGAGGAGGGGGTCCACCAGTTGTTCCATTAAGTAAAGGAGGTGGAGGTGGGGGAGGAACAACGCCGGGGGGGGGGGGGGGGGGGGGGGG